ACACCCTGCCCAGGTGTTAGGACACTGTTCTCACCAGTGTTAATTTTCCTCACCCTGTTCACTAATTCTAGGGTAAGAAGAACCAAAAAATAAGCTCTCTTCAAAAATAACACGTGAGATATTACTTGAAAAAAAGAAATTTGTATGCAGTCCCTTCTCATTCAAAAATGTCAACTTCATGAAATGGAAAAGTCAGCAGGATTCTAAGATTATAGGGCCAGGACCCTGTATTCTAGCTATACGATGTTTCTTTAGATCCCGCACAAACCTGACATTTATTAGCTCAACAAGAACAAATTAAATTGGAAGCTCATCTTTCCTTCTATCGCACTGAGTGGGCGAGTGTAGCAACAGATTGCTAAGTATGCCTGAAGAGAAATTATTTACAAAGAATATAGAGCAAGCAGTTAACTCTCAAAAAATACTGGATTAAGAAAACTGGAGAGAACTTTATCACAAAAAATCCCAAACGAAGGTATTTTGTTGAACTACATCAGCCTTGCCCTCGAGATAAACATGCTCAGAATCCCTCCTCAGAAAGAACTGCACAAGCGTGTTTTTCATAAAAATGGGGACAATGAAGCATGCAGAGGGCAGAAGGCAGAAGAGACATTTTTGCTTGACTCCAGTTTTCTCTTGTTTATCAAAGCTGAATACTCCAGAAACAAACAAAAAAACAAACCCATTAATTCTTCATGCCCTTCCTAGACAGAGACACAGCCATCAAACCAAGTCCTGCCTGCCTCTTCAGAATGGAACATTCAAAGGAGTCAGAACCCCAATATCAGTCTCGTATGACAAGCAAGGTCAACAAGAGCAGAGCCAGCTGAGAGTGACCACGAACTCCCGATTGAAAGCCCAGTCTAAAATGTGGAAAACAGGTTCCCTGTGCTTGCTTTCTACACAGCGTGGCCTCTGAGTCAATGAAAAAATAAAAGATTTGGCCCTGGGAAGAGAGATCCGTGATTCAGTGCTTCTCCACCCCTGCTAAGGCCCACACATCTGCGGGACAGGGATCTAAGAGACCCTGGTGGATATCAAAGCTTGTATGAGGGCAGGGATGGGGGTTCTTCGGGTGAAAGAATCAAAGACAAAAACGCATTTTAGATAGTCTTAACTCCAAAAATTCCCCGTGGCTTCTAAAAGCCTCCTCCCCCAGGTGATGCTAATACATATCTAAGCCCCTCACCCCAAAGAAAATAGAACTATGCAGCCCCATTTTATAGATGTGAAAACTAAGGTCCAGAAAGCAGAAGTGATTGGGAGATCACTTATTGGAAGTTAATAAAAAGGCCCAAAGTCAAGTTCAGGCCTCCAGACACTTAGAGTTCATGCACCTTCCACTACCCAGAGAGCCTTGAGCATAGCTGGTTGTCAAGAAGTAATAAATTAATGATATGAGCATACAAGGTTTGTGTTCATTCAACCCAATAACGGCCTCAGGGTTGCTCCAATGGGTCATATCCTGGATCCTCGGATCCCCAGCAGCACTGAAAGGTACTGATATTAACAGAGGTTCTGGGCTAGTTTCAGAACTCACAAAGATTAGGAGCCAGGAGTTGATCTTAAAAAGGCTGCCTGGGGTCTAAAACGTCAAGTCTCTCTACTTCAGGCCAGAATCAGATCAACCAGACTTGATGCTATTTCTCCCAAGTCAATCAGGAGTTCTGACCAGAAGTCTTCTGCAATTTTGAATAATAAAAATGGGAATTCAAGTCTTCCTAAGTAAACACAATTTATTTCAGAGACAGAGGGGGGAAAATCATTCAGAAAGGATGTTTGAAGGTGCAGCCCAAGGGGCTTGGCGGAGTCCTCTACAATGACAACTGTATTATTTTATTCATTACATTATGAAATTACAGAGCATATAGAGCTTGGCACCCAGTGCCTAAAGGCGGGACTTCCTGCTTGGGTATTTCCCTAGGTATTTTATATAAAATATTGGCTTCAGGTTTAAGTCTGGAACCTATAATTTATCAATCTTTGTTGAAAAATCAATTTTTATTCAAACTTCCTCACTTTCATTCCCATCAGCCACTCCCTTGGGGGCCATCCCTCAACCCTGCCTTGGGCAGAGACTGTTCACCAAATATTGATCATACTCAGGACAAAGTAGGGCACACAGGGGCAGAAAGCCCTGACGTCCTATCTCAGGTGAGAAGAACATGGTATCCCATACAGACAAAAAGAAGAACTGATTTTATTATAATAATATATATTACCATGCTGTATAGCATATAGTATACTTGACACTTCATAGTAGTTATATTATTCTTATGTATTACTTTATATACATAAAAAATGTTTAATATTTATTTTTGAGAGGGGGGAGGGCCAGAGATTTGAGAGGGGGGAGGGCCAGAGAGAGAGAGAGGGAGACACATAATATAAAGCAGGCTGCAGGCTCTGAGCTGTCAGCACAGAGCCTGATGCAGGACTCAAACCCACAAACTGTGGTAGCATGACCTTGGACACTTAACCAACTAAGCCACCCAGGTGCCCCTGCTTTATATACTTTTACATAGTTTATAAATATATACTATCTGTCTATTTTATTTATTTCCACATACATAGTGTTGGGCACACAGTAAGCATTCAATAAATGAAAGTTACCCAATTCCCATTAAAGATGTTATGACAAAATACTAAAATCAGCTAGGGGCATACCTGTAATAAAAATAACGAAGTCAGGAGTCTGAAGCAATGGTGAAGAAAATTCAGACTAAAGCACACTGAGCCTGAGAAGATTTATGATATATGTGGTGGGGGGGTGGGGTGGGGGAGAAAGGTTGGGGAGAGAGAGAAAATACATCAGTCCAATCACTGTTATTTCCATATCATTTGGTCTCCATGGATACCATCTAACTTCTCTTCAGACAGGAAAAAATTCACTGACATTCTATTTCACTGTTAAATTCTTTCAGGCTTTACATAAAATAGCTATTCTGTGTTTAATTCCTTGCCATTATCCATATACTCGCAGGAGAAGTAAATCCCTTTTTGCTGAAGATTCTGTAGGGGAAGTCAGTGTTTAATCCACAGTCGTGATTTCCTGGCTTTTCCACATTAATAATAATAACAGAATTCTGAAAGTTAAGGCCTCACACACTTGTAGATTGCTGTAACTTACGCAACCTTCTTTCATACACAGTACCTCATCTGTTCCCCAAAGCAACCCTATCAGATATGCAGTGAAGTATTACTATCACCTTCCACAGAACTAACCCCAAAAGGTAATCACTGTTATTTACCTTGTCGTTGTGTATTACCAGCTCACCAACTGCAAGGCAATTTCTCTAGAAGGTAAGGAAGTTGTGTTCCTGTTCCCAGTTGAACTCACAGAGCCTAGCGCTGTGTCTGATGCAGAGTGAATGTCTCACGAATATTTATTAAATGAATCAATAAAGTCCTTTATCTGCTCTGAGCCCTTTTTGGTATAAAGCACAAAACGGAACCGTGTCCCAGATACCCCATTTAGAGTTCTGTTCTCTGTCAAAAGGAAATTGTGTGAAAATGCTCTAGAAACAACAGAGTTTATATTCGATAATCCTAGGAATGAAAGTACGACGTCCGTACAAAAGTACCATGAAACAACAACGGATGCACATCTAAAGTTAAAATCCAAAGTCTCAAATGGTCCACTACCAGTTGTAAGTTTAACATCCTCAACTAGCGTTAGTATATTGAATATTTGCCTAATAAACAGTACTTCAGAAAGCAGAGTAAGAGTGGGACCACATTCATAGAGCTGTGCTTAGCACAACCATCTCTTTGCCATAATTTGCTCCCAATTTAACTGCAAACTCTTACTTTTGATTATGATGACATTTTTACGGGCAGGTCTGAAATAGGCAAAATTATCTTGAACTTTTGAAGATCAAAAGAAAAAAGACAACTCGGGGAGGATGAAATATATAAATGTTTAATATTAAGAAGCAATTACAAACCATCACGGAACAGGACTCCTAAATCTAAGAGGCCAAAATCTAACTTCTTACACAACAGGCTGGGTTATAAATTATAATCGTTCACTAATTACAGCGACATTCCGGACTTTGCCACATCCATCAATCGATGTTCCAAGATTACCCCTTAGAAACGCCAGTTTAATTTCTAAATGGTCCATCTCCGAGGTCTCCTTAGCAAAGACAAGTTTTTCCAAACACTTTTTAGGTTTCTATTTCCATCCCTCTCCCGTCCAAAACAGGAAGGATGGGCGTTGAGAAAAGTAGAGAATCCTGAATCTGTGTGCACGCTGACGTGAAACAGGGATCACCTTCCAGGTCCTGATAAGGCAGCGCGCGTCTGTCTACCATCAAGCCGATCCACCTTTGGAACTCAGTCTGTCACCAGACCCCTGTCTGCACCTGCCCCGAAAAGCACCAAAAAAGGTGCAGGCTCCTAAGTTCCAATGCTATTTGCAATCGGTCTGAAAGCTAATAAACGACTGCAGGCTTGACAGCAGTCTCGGTGATTCCTGAAAATCCACAACAGGAAATGTAACTATCCTCCACCCTCCCTAGCCATTCATCAAAAGCCGACCGAGTCACAGCAACAGGGAGGCCAGTGGCGGAAGGCAAATGCCAGCCCTTTTCCTCATTTAGAAGGACTGCCTTGTTCTTCACCGGTGACCAAGGACGAGGGAGCACAACCCTCCGCCCGCACTGGAGGGAGGGGCTGAGGAGGAACGGAGCGGGTAAAAATGTCCCCAAGTTGCAAACACTCTACCGTGGGACTGAAAACGAGTGCAAGCCACGCCGCAAATATGTGGCAACGTCGACTGCCAGCCCCAGGGGGGCACGTCTGCAGCTGGTGACCGAGGCGTGTGCCTCCAACCACGGACCCGGGCGCCTCACCTGGTGCCCGGAACACCGTCGGTGCGCCCGCTTCGGGCTGCCAGCCTCCTCCCCGGCTCCCCCTCTAACAGGGCAAGGGGGCAGGGCGGCAAACGTACCGAGACCTGGGGCCAAAGACAGATGCCGGCGCGTCCTGGCGAGGGGATGAGTTACATCCAGAGGCCCTTCGGACTTGCGGCGCCTCCGCGAGCCCCTGTCGGGGGCCGGCCCCCAGGCCGGGGCACGGAGCGCGGCCGCAGGCGGGCTGGCGCCACGATTGGCCGCGGCGGGCAGCGCTCGGTGGGCGAGCCCGGCCCGCGGGGCGGAAAGGAAGTGGCGGCCACGGCCGCGCACCAACCACGTTCGGCCGGCGGGCGAATGCCACTCGGCGCCCAGAGCGAGGTCGGAGGGCGCGGGGCGGGCACTCGCGTCCCCACCCCGCCGCGGCCCGCGCGCCCGAGGACCCCCAGGGGACGCCCGCCCCCACGCCTGCCAGCGGGGCGCCGCTCGGTCCCCGGAGGCTCCCCGCCCCCACCTCGCCCGCTCCGTAGCCGAGGCGGGTCAGGCCCAGCGCGCCAGGCCGGCCCGGGGGCGCCTGCGGGGACCCGGAGGCGCCCGGCGCTAGGCCGCGGCCGGGGCGGATGACCCCCCTCCGCGCGGCGCCCTCCCGGGACGCGCCGCCGGAGCCCCCCCGCGCGCCTGGACAAGTGCGGCGACAAAGCCCCGGGGCCGGGCCGGACGCTGGCCGGCGGGAAGGAGGTCGCGGCGTCCCTCCGGAGCGGCGGTGGCGGCAGCGGCCCAGCTCCCAGGAAGCCGGGCGTGCCGGCCAGGCCCGGCGCCCACCCCCGCTCGGAGCCCGCCCGCCGCCTCCGGCCGCTGGCACCCGACGCCCGCGACCGTTCCCCGAGTCCCGCGAGCGGACGAGCCCCGGGCCCGCCGCGGGGCGCCCCCACCAAGTTTCCTCCGGCCGCGGCGCGAGGCGCCTCTCCCGGCCGGGGCGCCGGGCGCGGGGCGCAGGCAGCCGGGCGGACGGCGGGCTCCGGCTTCTTTACGCAGGAGCTGCCGGGAGAGAGGCGCCGCCGCCGGACCCCGAGAAGGACCCGCTCCCCTCCTTCGGATCCGGTGGCCACGGCGTCTGTAAACACGCACACGCACACACATGCACACGATAATGTTGTTTTAAAAGGAGGCCCGACTCCGGCGGACCTGCACCCACACACACAACACCTGAGGCGCAGAATCACACAGAGCAGGTCTGTGTCCATGGAGCCACCTCTCCGCATCTGCAAATCCAAAAGTGAAATTAAACCTCCACCAACCTCCTCCTCCTCCTCCTCCTCCCTCTCTACCTCCTCCTCCGCCTCCTTGCAGCCTCAGCAGCCCCAGTAGCAGCAGCAACAGCAGCAGAACCTGCTTCCCCTAAAATCAGATGATCCATAAGAGCTCCGACCGTTCCTCCAAACATCGGCATTAATATTTATGAACCCCAGCATTCTCCGTCTGCAAAACACTGTGTCAAACCATCAGGACACGCGCACACACACACATCCCCTCCAGTCCTCAAAACATGCCCTCGAGAAAAACACACACGCACAGTCACAACTATTATTTGAAAAAAATGTTACCTCTCAGTGTGCTTTTTCACACTACCAATACAATTCCGCAAGGTTTAAGGGTTGCTAGGGTGTGTGAAATGGAAACGAAAGCCCGTCAGTTGAATAATCGCAGGAGCAAAACTAAAAGTTACTCCCCGGCTTGCCTGAGAACAGTCCAGATCGAAAGCAAAACAAGGAGAGGAAACTGCGAAGAGCCGAGGCTGGAAATCCCCCCACCCCCCGCCCTCCTCCCTGCCTGGCTCCCTCCCTCCCTCGCCTCCCCCCTCCGCCCTCCTCCCTCCGCCCTTCCTCCCCAGTGTTTGTTTCGAGCTTGTGCAACCGGGAGGTGGAGGCGGAGGGAGGGCGCGAGCGGCCCGGCCCGGAGGTGCGGAAGTTCGCCGCGGCTGCTCATTGGCGGGCAGCGCCGCTTTCATCATTTCTCGGAAAAGTCAATTTCATTTTCACTTCCCCGCGGCGCGGCGGCGGCAGCAACAAGCGGCCGCTCGGGAGTCGGCTCCTGGCGCGCGGGGACGCTCACACTCGCCGCGCTCACGCTCGAGGCGGGGTGGGGGGCACGTCCCGGGACCCCGCGTCGTTTCAGGCCCGAAGCTCGCGGCTGTGGGAGAGGAAAGCAGGTACCCGCCCCTCCCTCCGCGCTCGGGGTTACCTGAATGCTGGGAAGGAAGGAGGGGGAGGGCGGCAGGGGGAGCCCGGGAGGGCGCCGTCCACTTGGCGGGGCAGGTGTGAGTGGTGTTTAGCACCGCGGTCCGCCGAGTGGAGGAAAATTCACTCTGCAGCACCGCCCGCCTCAAAGCAATAAAAGGAGCTGAAGACACAGCGTCACTTAAATATGAATTCAAGAACTGGGCTAAGCGAGGACTTGGCGCCCTTAACCTTATTTGAAAACCCTCATCAGTAGTTGACGGTGCAACCATTTGAAGGATGCTCCCATCTCTGGCACCACCTGGCGCTCTGCTGGGGGGCGATAAGGAGGCCTTCCCCTACCCCCGTCAGCAGCACACTCCAGACCGAGCTATCGCCAGGGCAACAGAAGTTACTTTCCCGCAGGAGAGATGCGCGAGGGTGTGAATTAACTGTACTTCAAGATGTCTTCGTCGTGCCTGGTCCAGGAGAGAGGCTGTATATTGTGGCACTTCCGGCCATGCCGTGTCACGCCGCATAACCTGAGGCCTCAGTTTTCAATGCTGTGAAATGGGGATAAATGGTAAAATGCAAGAATACAGGTACAGCACCTGTCACCTTCAGAGTGTGTTAGTTCAAACTAATACAGTTCATTTGGGATCTACCACGTTTGGGTCATTTGCTGTAAAGTTTTATTTATTTGGGGGGGGGAGGGAGAAAGAATGAAGGGGGAGGGTCAGAGAGGAGGAGGGTGGACAGAGGATTGCAAGCGAGGAGGCTCCTTGCTGACAACAGAGCAATTCCTGAGATCACGACCTGACCTGAAGTGAGACGCTTAACCGGCTGAGCCACCCAGGCTGCCGTGTCCTTTGCTTTAAAAGTATCAATTCTTGGGGCGCCTGGGTGGCTTAGTCGGTTAAGCGCCCGACTTTCACTTAGGTCATGATCTCGCTGTTCGTGGGTTCGAGCCCCGCGTCGGGCTCTGTGCTGACTGCCAGCTCAGAGCCTGGAGCCTGTTTCAGTCTGTGACTCCCTCTCTCTCTGGCCCTCCCCTGCTCACGCTGTCTCTCTCTCTCTCTCCTAGAAATAAATAAAACATTTTAAAAACAATAATAAAAAAATAAAAGTATCGATTCTCATCTAATTAGACCTGTTTCTTCCTCCATGCGCAGTTTAATCAGCTTCTCAGATCTAGCTAACAAAGAAAGACCTTTCCTGGGAGGCCATGGCTGCTTATAGGTAAACACTTTTCTAAAAACGGCACTCTAGTATCCCTCTTTGCCACTGAAGTATTGAGTTCTAGGGACTGGATATGCCTGTGTGTTAGGAGACAGCTGAGTGCTTAGGAATCTGTTTTCTATGGGATCTCAGAAATAGATACACACATTGCTCCTTATCCTCTCTCCTATAATACTGTCTGACACAGCTACTTGCCTTCTTATTTCATGTAACAGCGACCACGACAGGCAACTGGAGTCATCCCATACAAAGTGTGTAGGGCGGTTATCATTCTTTAGCTGCCTACGGCCCCCACGTTAAAAACCCCAACATACATCCCGTCCGTAGCATCCTGCTGGCTTGTTGATGCTCTTCCCAATTGCGGTCGAGGCTTCCTCTTCCTCTGCCCTGTTTTGCCTTCGTTCAGTGATGTACCGCCTCGGGCACGGCTCCTGGGTTGTGCTCCGCTAGGCAGGCAGCCACACTACTGTCCAATTAAGTAGAAAACTAACTCCAAGTAAAGCGTGTTCCAACCCTAACCCCATCCCTCAGAAACCTCTCGTAGCCTTCAAAATAAAATCCACAGTATTTAACAAAACATATAAAATCTGTTCTAATCGGGCACCAGAGGGCTTTTCCAGCCTTATCTCCTGCTCCTGGGCCCCACAAGCTGTACGCTCCTCCCTGGTTAAACCAGCTGCCGCTCCTTTTTGTAAAACAGCAGAGCCATTCTCTTTGCTGTTTTATCCTGAGCGTGGTCCTGGCACCCAGGCGCTCAGATACTCGTCAATTCATAATTCCTTGCCCTTTTATTCTCCTGAAATATTTTAGACTCTATCAGAGTCTTTTATTAATATACTGTAACTGATATTTATTGTACAGAATGCAAAAGATGCAGAAAAGTTGAAAAAAAAAAATAAGCCACCTGGAATCTCACCAGTCGGGAACTGAGCTCTTGATGTTTTTATGTCTTTCCTTCTAGTAATTTTTCAAAAGGGCCGTTTCCAGTTCTCATCTACTCGGTCTCTCTGTGTCACATAGCAGTGCCCATCCGGGTGCTTGGGTGACTTCCCTCTGTCCTGTTCTAAACCTTGGCTGGCTTCTCTTCTGCCAGCCCCCTAAATTATGGTGTTTCCAGACATTCCATCCTAAACCCTTCTATTTTCTCATTCCATGTGCTTTCTCTTTGAGGGCTCTCACTCACGCCCAAAGCTTCAGATATCTCTATTTGGTAATAGCTCCAAAGTCTGTAGCTTCTGACTTCTGGATGATTTACCTCCTGGATGTTCCTCGGGTTCAACAAATCATGATGCATGTCTAAAACTAAACTCACCACATCTTTCCTGACAACCTTGTATATGTGTCACCTCACTGACCCCCCAGGAAACTGGCAGAGATCACAGACTTCTGCCTTTGCTGAGCCTCCCTAGAGCTCCCTCAGGCATGGGTACTGTTTCCAATTTTTCAGGCCCTTAGACACAGGAAGCATAGAATGAATTTCCCTCTGTTGTTATGACCTTGATGACGTATCACTGCAGACAAAAGTGTAAATACGCCCCCCACATCCACATGGTATTGATATTCACAGTCAGGAAATATTTCTCAGCTCTTTTATGAGATACATACAGTCACAAATCTCTCTGCAAAACGCAACCTTTTTGAAAGCCTCTGGAAAAAGTAACCTGACCAAACACCTTGGTCTAATGCAAAAAAACGTTGTTCAACCCATCTATTATGATGAAACTGGAGTGATCTCCTGAATGGGGTATGTTAATATTTCCCCCGTGGATCTTCCTAAAAGAAGATCTACATGCATGCATTAGGACTAACTTCTTTTCAGGGAAGTTAAGGAAGAGCAGTGATTAGCTGGACACCTAGTGATTGTTCTCTCCTTTCAAATGTGTTTTTAATTTATTTTTCTAACGAGAATAGTTTCATAAAATAATCATTCAAGTAACAAACGTTATTAAGTGCCCACAAACTTTTCACAGCATTGGGAATACAGCACTGGACCCAAACCATTGGAAACCTCTGCAACCCGAGAAGGTCTCCTAGAGTCTAGTAATTTCCATTACACCGCCCCAGTATCCCAGCCTCACTTCCATCTGTAATCCCAGCCTTTAGAACCGTACACTAAAGCTAAGAATGTGGAATATGATGGCTGACTCACTAAAGTGTTAAATATTTATAGTTATGATTAAATCAGTAGCCCCTAATCCACCTGTCAAGTGATGTCCCAATTTTCTCCACCATGTCACTGATACCACTCTGTCCCGGCCACTAAGGTCTCTTCCATGGTGTTAGAATTTAGGAGACTATAAAATCATAGGAAATGAGTGTCCCACACTTGCAAAGGCAGTTGGCTAATAACCCATAGATTGTAGTTCTGCGCTCCAAAGAGTATTCTTGTGAAGTCCACACTGAATAAACACACAGTCAAGTTAGATTTTAGTTGAGACAATGTAACAGTAATGACATTGAAAAAGGCTTCAGTCAAAGTTCAAGGATCAGAGGCATTAAGTTTGAGAGATTCTTGCTTGACTGTACCTCATGTAATGCTTCCTCCCATTTTACTAGAAACTCCGAAATGAGATTTATTTTATCGCAATTATTCTCTGAAAATCATGAATTTAAATTGAGCCATATATTGCCCAGTCCTTAGTAATAAATATTAACTTCGTCCTGTTCTGACGAAGTAAGGGGAAAAATATTCTTTAAAATTGCCAGGATGTATGTGTATCTCTGTGTATATGTGAGAGAGAGAGAGATTTTGTGCAACAGGAAAACTTACAATTTTGAAAACTTCATAAATTGTTTTTTGCTAAAACCTCTCTGTTCCACCCCAAATAGCTTTGAAGTATCCATTACTATATCCAAATGATAAAGTAGTGCTTTCCTTTTTAAACTCAGGAGGAGGGGCACCTGGGTGGCTTAGTCGGTTAAGCGTCCGACTTTCGCTTAGGTCATGATCTCTCGGTTCATGGGTTCGAGCCCCACGTCGGGCTCTGTGCTGACTGCCAGCTCGGAGCCTGGAGCCTGTTTCAGAGTCTGTGACTCCCTCTCTCTCTGACCCTCCCCTGCTCATGCTGTCTCTCTTTCTCTAAGAAATAAATAAAAAACATTAAAAAAATTTTTTTAATAAAAAAATAAACTCAGGAGGAAAAGACATCCATAGCTCTGCCTTGAAGTTCTTTAGAAAGAATTACTATAATAGTTTCAAGTATTAAAAATATATTAAACAAATACATTTCAAGTGTTTAACATAAATTCAGCAAGCCACAAAATTCACGGGATCCGGATATTTGACGAATTTTCTGTTACAGCTTCCTCTC